CTTTCCCATATTTATGGGAAAGTAAATCTCTAAGCATTTTTGTATTCTTAAATGCCTGCCACAGTAAGGTCTTATCAGGAACTGAAACACCATGGAAGTGCTACATTGTTCTGTGTAGTTTCAGAAACTAGGAAAACGTCTTTTACAGTGTCCACTAGGGGGTTGTCTTTTAATTTGATACAATGTAGTTTGAAAGCTCACAACTAATCTTTAAGGTAAAATATCAGTCACCACTGCTGTCTTAGTCCAAGTTCCTTTGGTGACCAAAATGGGAACCTTTTCCAATGACAGGAGGAGTAAGAAGCAGACTTTCACTTAGAGGAGGGTCAGAGTTCATCTCATAATCCCAGTTCTTCTTTGCAGCTGGACAGAGTAGACAAAGCAGTGGTGGAACAACTGACAGCAAAGGTGAACTTGGCAGAACAAGCCCTTGCTGCAAAACAGCTCCAGATAGATGAAATGAAGCAGTTAATTGCTAAGCAAGAGGAGGACCTTGAAACTATGTCTGTGCTCCGTGCTCAGGTATCAGCTCTTCTTTACAAACTGGCTACTTCCCTGAAACCAGGAGGTATTGAATGGCTCACTCTGGAATGCTGAATACATTTTCTCAACTTCAAAGCATAACACCCTTTACTTGGATTGCCTTGCAGATACCTGCAGAGCCTTTACCCACTGTATTCTAGGGCTCTGTAGGAGAAGCTGTGTATGCTGGAGTCTGGCACAACAAACAGAAGTTGGGAGTAGATGGGTATTTAGAACCACTGGCCTAAGAATCACTGCATATGTTCTAGGAATAATTTTACTCAAACCAGCATGTGTTAAGTGACTAAAAGGGGTTTGCCTCATATTTAACACACAGAACTGGCATCTTGGCCTGGTTCCACTATCTGAGCCACAGATTTGTCAGTGTAACTAGTCAAGTCACTCACTGCTTGTCTGTGCCTCTTTCCTGCCTCTATAGAGCAGAGGCAATACCTGTGCCCCAGGAAAGACACAAAAGACTATCTTTTACAGAGTCCAGAAAGTGTTAGGTCTCCTTCACCTTGTGAGAAGTGCAGGTCTTGGCTTTGCAGTGTTTTGAGTAGATCCATATTATGATACAGATTTGTGATTTTGACATGTAATATACAAATACTGTTCAGTCAAAGTTACAAATTTTCATTTCTGATCTCATTTCTCTGATCAGATGGAGGTTTATTGTTCTGATTTCCATGCTGAGAGGGCAGCAAGAGAGAAGATCCATGAGGAGAAGGAGCAGTTGGCTGTCCAGCTGGCATACCTACTAAAAGACCAGCAAAATCTTGAAGATCTTGGCCGGTGAGAACAGACTTTGGCTGAACTGCCTTTGCAATGTCCTGTTACTCTGTTACTGGTGTTGACCAACATTGTCTTTGTGAGTGTCGTAGTAGAAAGGCAAATAACTTTGCAGACATTTCTTGCTTAATTTGAATTTAAAAGGAGAAAAAAAAGTGAATTTACTGACTTCTCAGTTTTCTGGTAGAATCTCTGTAAAGTGTGTTAGTTCTTAGTTGGGTGCCTTAGTAAGCTTTCATTTCATATGATTCATGCTTGGTAAATTCTCCCTGTTGATCCGTGTGAGTTTCTTTGGCTTTTGGCCTCAGTTTTAGCTGTGAATCTGCAGCTAATTTTGCTGTGTGTGTGCCAGGGATATCTGCTGCTTCTCTGGGAGGTAGTGGTGAGTACATAGTTCTGAATATGGTGGTGGTTGAATCAAGTTACATTTCACATTAACTGTACAGAGTCCTTTTTTGGTATAGCTTGCTTTTCTACTTAAAGCAAATTTGCAGTTTTCCCTGAACAGCTGAGAGTCCTTGGAGTTTTCCAGAGAAGGGTGCCCTAGATCCCTAGGTGTGTGGCTGCCCAAATCCTGCTGCTGGTGTCAGTTGCATGACCCTGATTTCAGGAGACCTCTGGCATGAGCTCACAAAGCAGTGGCATTTCTAGGTCCTGTTTCTGAGCAGCAGTTGTGAACTAAATGCATGACCAGTTGACAGGAGTCTGTTTTCAGAGCCCTTGACTTGTTTATTCTCCACAGAACCTCTCTGGCAGAGATGCAGAGTCGCCACGGAGCCAGGATGCCGGATCGGGAGCACTCACCTCACCTTGTCCAAAGAGGTACTGCAGGCACTTTCTCCAGCCCTTGGGGTCAGGTTCAGGTTAACCAGCTTTGCTTGGCTGCAGACAGCTTCCCTGTGGTTATTCTGGCAGCTGGGTAGCTGCAGAGAGCAAAATCAGGTAATATAATAGTTAATCATTTATCTTCTCTGCTTACAGGAACTAATAGTCAAGATTGGCCAGAGCAGCGGAATATTTCAATTTATTCATGTCCGAAATGTGAAGAAATTCTACCTGATTTGGACACACTGCAGATTCACGTTATGGACTGCATTAATTGAGTGATGCCCTCCAATTCTTTGTCCTCTGGAATTTCACCTGCCAAACACTTGGGGTTTTTTCCTTCTTGCTCAAATAATACTCAGCTCTCTTATGTCCTTTGAAGAAGGTTTTCAGGGGTTTGCTTATTAATTCAATGGGAAAAGGATAAAACTCTTCCCCTGCTGTGTAGTCACTAATGTTGTTGTAATCTGCTTTAGGGAAGGAGTTTTCTTGGATTAACAACATGGTTGTGCTACAGAACTTGCAGTGTGTCTGCTGCTATGAAACCTTTCAGGAATATTCCCCTGAAGTGCTTTGCTCTATGGCTACTCTGCAGAACAGGGCTGAATCACTGAAGTCAGAGGAGAGATGAGATATTTGCTGATCAAATATATTTATATATATAAAAAATATATATGTGAGCCTGCAAATACTTCATCTCTTATATACTATATACCAGGAAACTAATACACAAAAAAAGCTGTTTGAGAAGCTTTCAGCAAAATGGAATAGTGCTGTATTCATCAAGAATTTGAAGTGAACCCTGCTCTTTCTCCAGATGGCCATTTCATTGCTGTCTTTGTGACCATACTAATCTGATGTTAAATTTTTGATGGCTTATGTAACTTCTTGCTTTAGCCAGATGTGGGTAAGGTTTAAAACAGATCAGCTAGGTCTGATATATGTAGCTCCTGCTCTCTCAAGTCCCTTGGTTTTATAGAACTGTTAATTTTTATGATGTTGTCTTAATTTTTCTTTGTTATAATAAAAGCATTTGAACTTGTACAGTATCGTGGTAGAAGGCACTGAGATGGATGTAACCTAATTTAAAAAGAGTAGAGTGGATTTTCATGTATCAAAATAAATCTATTACAATTATAAAATTTATCTGTGCCTATAAGTATGCGGGAGACTCGAACAAGATTTCCTATGTCTGAAAAGCTTGTGTAGAAACAACTGTAGTGGATTAGTTCTATTCTTGTCCTCCCAGGTGTTTTTAGCTCAACAAAAAGGAGACAATCCCTTTATTGTCGTTTTGTCATTAATCCAAGTAAGTTTTTTACTTTGCTTGTTGTCACTGTTGTTCTAATTATCACTTTTAGACTCTGGATTTTTATTTTCTGTTATAGTTCATCTATCACTTCACCCATCATTTCAGATAACACAAGGGCTGATTGTTGTGAAGAGGTATTCATCAGCCTCATCGCAACCTTCTTCTTCAATTACAAGTAGTCCCAGCAGATGTAATCTCTTACTGGCTTTTAATTGGTTCCTTTTGACAGTAGGATTTATAGGCTTTTTTTACCCTGAAACAAATTTTATTATGGGAGCTGTGACGATTACAGATTCTGCAGTGGTTAAAATCTGATGGAAATGCTACTAGGCCAGAAGCAAACTAACAGAATAATAGAGCTGATTTAATCTGAGAAGTATTAACCTTAATGAAAATACAAAAAATCAGTGTGAAAGGCTGAAGAAGGAATAACTTACACATTCGTCAAATCACAATGAATCATCTGAGGAGGTTTCAGAGGGAGGGGATGTTAGAACAGGAGTGCTAACAGGAAAACATGGGCATTAGGTGAAATAGGTCTTCATAGAAAGATAAAAGAGCAGGTCTAATAGTACAAATCAGCAGGGGCAAGGAACTCCAAAGAATAAAGCCACAATACACTGAAACCTGTTGGTGTTACAGGGAAGATTATTTTTTGCTGTCATTACTAACTGCAGTCCAGCAATGAGCTTATACATCCTCAGAACTATTTTTCACAGAGTTACCAAAGAAAAATCAACCTATGAAATTTTGTCCACTGTATGTGACAATAACAAGGATTGCATTTGTTGGTGTAAGACAAGGGTTGACATTGTTTACTTATCCAGATGGGGATGGCACCTGCTGTGACCCCTCCCTGAGGCCACTCTGCCCAGTCATGGGCAACTCTGCAGCTAAATGGACTTACCCAGAGCCCGTAATCAGGACCAGAGGTGTGATTCTTCCCTCTGTTGTGAGCACTGTGAGCCACAGCTCGAATGCTGTGCCCAGTGCTGGCCCCTCAGCTCAGGAAGGGCACTGAGGTGCTGGAGAGGTCCCGAGAAGGGCGATGGAGCTGGGGAAGGGGCTGGCTGGAGCACAAGTCTGAAGAGGAGCAGCTGAGGGAGCTGGGGGGGCTCAGCCTGGAGGAAAGGAGGTTCAGGGGGACCTTCTCACTCTCTAAACTGCCTGACAGGAGGGTGTAGCCAGGTGGGAGTCGGGCTCCGATGATAGAATGAGAGAGAGGACATGGCCTCAAGCTGCATGAGGGGAAGGTTTAGGTTGGACAGTGGGAGGAATTTCTTCACAGAAAGAGTGATTCGACATTGGTGGAGTGACCTGCAGATATTTAAGAAAAGTCCGTCATGGCAGTCAGTGCCATGATCTAATTGACAGGTGGTGATGTGTTACAGGATGGACTCGATAGGACTTCCCCAATTCCATCGATTCCGTGACCCCCACGCCGCCATCGCCCCCATTCAGCGGGCACCCGCCCACAGCCAAGATGGCGCCGGGCAGCGCCGCGGCTGCCAGCACTAAAGATGGCGCGTGCGCGCATGCGCGGGAAGGGGCGGGGCCGGTCCGAATTCTGGCGGGTACTGGCGGCGCGCGCGGCGGCGAGCGGGGTGCGTGAGGGGAGCGGGGAAAGCGGGGAGAGTGGAGCGATTCCCGGGAACACGGAGCGATCCCGGGGCACACGGAGCTTGGGCCGACGGTCGGGAGCCGCGGCGGAGGAGCCCCGCAGGAGGTCGGGGTTCTGCTGGGTGAGGGAGGCGGCCGGGCGGAACCGTGAGGGGAAAAGCGCGGGGTCCGCGGTGGGCACTGGCCTTCCCTGCTCGAGCGAGTTAAGCGGTGTTGCTAAAAATTAATATTCTGGAGCATGAGAGAAACTCCGCTTTTGATCGTTGTGGGCGAAACAAAAGATTCTGCAAGCAGGAAGATCTCTAAGCACAGTTGGAGTTTGGGTTTTTGACTCACTTCTCCCATCTTTCTTATCCAAGCTTCCCTGGTCCGTTCATGTCCGCCCGTGCTGATTTTTTTTTCACGGACCTATGGAGAAGCTGTGAGAAACGCAGAATGTGCACTTTTGAGAATAACAACTGTTAGACTTTAGTAACTAGTTAAATGCTAGTTGTAATTATGGTGTACTCAGAATAATCAGCCGAGGTGGCAATGGTTATTATTATGAGAACTTGGTAGGCATTTGTTAAATTCTGTGTCTATAATGGGCCTTTTTTTATAAAAGTAGTGTCATTACAGTGCAGCGGGTTCAGCATGGGTCAGAGTTTTGGTGTAGAGGGTTTTAAAATGAGTGGAGTTCTCATCTGCAGCTGTAAACAAAACCAAGCTGGTAGATTTCAAAATACCAAATAAGGAGCCTGAACACAATATATATATCTAGATTAATTATATGTACTTTAACAGTATCACTTTTGTTGTCCCCATAACAGAATATTTTGCCTTGAGGGGCTCTTGAAGAAATCCTGGTGAAACTATGGACGGTAAGGGAGAAAATTATCTTCCTTTCAGTAGGAAATATCAGCCTTTTAGCTAGTAAGTTCAGGTGTTCAGAAAACCTGGTAAGGCTTTTAGCAAAGGAATTTAAATTCCACTGAATTTTTTGCTGAGTTCTTTGAGGTTGCCTCTTGTTTTCCTTCTTGTCACTTTCCTGTGAGGCTTCTCTGTGCTTTCCCTGGTTTGGTGTTTTCCTCAGCAGCAAAGGCTAAATCAGTTTCTTGGTTTGCTCCAGTTTTCATTTCTGCTCTGCTCTGTCGCGTTCTTCTCTCTGCACTTATCTCTTCTCCATTTTTGTCCCTATTTCTTTGTTCTCTGTGTTTTTCCAGGAGCAAACTGTATCTGAGGATATGCTTTGTTGCCTGCCTTGCATATCCCTCTTCCCCTTTGATTGGCAAAAGCCACAAGTGTCTCTGTTGCTTACATCTTTACAGGTTCCAGGCTTTTCTGTGTAACAGCAGCTGCTGTTCAAGGAACTGCATAAGAGGAAAAGCCAATGCTGAGTAGCTGGCAAGTTTTCTGCTGACTTGCCAGCCTCTGCCACAAGCTGAGAGCATCTGCAACTACAGTTCCATCTGGCCTCACAGCCAGAAGCTGCTCTAGATGCTTTTAGTTAAACCTGAAGTGTATTTTTTTTTTAATGCTATGTGCTGCTCTGAGTTTCAGTTGTCATTAACTTGTACTTAGGGTGTCTTGGATGTTTATTCCTTAGCAACTTTTCTTTAACTGGACAGAAATAACTCAGTCTATTTTTTGCCTTAGCTGATGATGACTTGGATCTGTTGGCTTCCCTTCTGGAAGAAAACGAAGCAACTGAGGAGAGGAATTCTCCTGAGGAGGAAGATGCTCCCGAGGATGAAGATGGAGAACCAGATGAGTACGATGAGCTCTTTGATGCAGAAGATGATGCATCCTACACTGAGGAAGTTGATGCTGAGGACAGCATGATTGATGAGCAGAAGGAGAACTTGGCTATGCTGTTTGGAGACGTAGATGACCTGCTGGAAGAGGAGGAGGCAGAGAAAGCTGTCCCAGCTTCAGCTCCCAGTCAGGCGAAGGAGAAAACCAATGAAGAACTGCAAGGTTTCTGCAACAGCATCTTTGATGTGTTTTGTTTGATATATTCTGTCTCTAGAGAGCTAACAGGCAGGAGGTATGGCCTGCCTGTTCTTGGTGATGGCAGGAGAGGAAATACTGAAAAGCCCTGTGAACGTTTCTAAGTTCAGTTTTCAGCATCCAGTGGCCAAACTACCAAACCTGTTTTCCCAAAAGAAAGACAGAGGACCTAAGTAAGCCAGGGAGACCAACAGAGCTGTGCTGAGTAGCGTAGGGAAGGTTGCCTGTGTACCTGTGCCTTGTCTGATGAAGAGCAATGTTTCCTCAATCTTCAGGGCATCAGGTATCATCTTGGCATCTTTCACCAGCTCACCAGTTCCATCCCCCTCAGGACTTATTGACAGGAGATTCTGCCCTACCAGTGTGGAAGTCATTGTGGAAGCAGAGCTGGTCACAGCTTTCCTGTGTCCAGACTGTGTACTTGATTATATAAGGAAGTACTTCTTTATGCTAAGGAGTGCAATCATCAGCCATTTAAATTGCTTTATGGTGAGCAGGAAAGTTTTATTCAATGTGGGAAGGAACACACCACAATTACATAAAATATTTTTATGAGAGGACCCAGGTCCAGGCTGTATGGAAAAGTTTTCCTTCACTATGAGCTGTGTAGAATCAAGTAAATCTGCATTATGACTCAAGTCTTCATTTAAGTTTCCATGATACAGAAAAACTGCCAGATTTCCAGGGATCTCATAAATCCCTGTATGCAATGGCTTCCTGCTGTCTTCATTATTATCCTTTTTCTTTTCCCTTCTTTCCTAGCTGAGCTGAGAAAATTGCAAGAGCAGATGAAGACCTTACAGGAGCAGTTGCAGAAGACTGCTCTTGGGCAGCAATCCAGTTCAGGCCCTGAGAAGAAAACCCCTGGTAATGAAACTAATTAAATGAGTTTATGATTTATTGGCTTTCCCATGTGAGTTTATAGGCAGGACGTAAAATAATCCTGAAGTAGGCCCTAAGTAGCAAGAAGGCATGGCGGTCTGGTGTATTCCCACACAGGTTGTTTCTTACAGGTACAGATTAAATCAGTTTTGGTCTCTGCATCATGGATTAATTCTGCATTGGACAGGTTTCATGACTAAGTGCTCCAGACTCTTCTGGAGGTGTTCCTTCTTACTGGCAGATGTTGGTACACCCAGTATATGCAGCTGTGTTTGTTGCTATAGCATGCTGGATGTAGTAATGAAACTTCATGGAAAGATTGCAAAACGGGATGTTTTGACTTTCCACAGCTTTGAGGTTGCAGTGACATCCAAAGTCTTAACTTGTCATGAGGAAGAATCTTTGGCGCTTTTTCAGCTGTTGCTTTTTCAGCTGAAAAATTGGCTGAAAGGTTTCCATGTGGGGCACTGACTTGGACTTGTTATTCAGGAATTACACAGTTTGGAGCAGTGCTTAGAGTCTGAGTCCAGATCCTGAAGTCTCATAGTTTTTTGTTCCGTTGGCCAGGTAAATCTCCCTGTCCACCCTTAAAGGAAAGGAAAGTTCAGAAGCTGCAAGAGTCATCATGCTTCTCAGCCCAACTGGATAATCCTCTACCACCAGCCAAGCAAGGAATGCAGAAATCAAAAGCATCCTCAGCAGGTACCATTCTCAGTCTACCTTTACTAAAGACAGAGCTTCTGTTGAAACCTTATAGTTCCCAGCAGTGTGGACACATCCAGGACAGTGTTATACTACTAAGTGCACCAGGAGTGATCTGCTCACAGTGGCAGAGAGCTTGTTAATTAATTACTAAGTTAATTATTGTATTCTTTGTAATGGGAGCTATGCCTTTTTTCTTCTGCTAAAGAGAACAAGATTCCTCCTCCACGACAAGTCCTCAGTCTGGCGTTCCAGCCTCTCAAGCCTGCTGTAGGGAACACCCCCAGTAAGGTGACCAGAGAGAAGACTCCTCATGTGCCCGCATGCCCCAGTGCAACCACACAGCCAGTGTCTGTGGAAACCTTCTCAGGACTGAGATTAAGGTCAGCAGCCCAGCTCTGAGCCCTGTCTGGGGGCAACCCCTCCAAGTAAAGGCAAAGAAAACACAATGTGTATATGTGGTTTAACTGTGTCAGATTAGTCACTTGTCATCAAGGGATGTTACACAATGCCACAGCACTGGCTGGTTGATCAGTAATCATGTAACATTGACTTGGCTTAGTACCATGTTTCTGTTTTTACCTCTGCTCTTTTCTAACAGAAAAGCTCTAATTTCATTAGCACTGCCTTCCCTGGCATAGCCTCAGTGGTGGAGCCAGGAAGCAGTGGCCATGTGCAAAGGCCAGCTGAGCTCCAGCTGAGCTGCACACAGAAGCCTCAGGAGTCACTCACCATCCCTATACTCAGTGTGGCCACAAGAGGACTCCGAATCCTCACGGTGTCCTCACCAGAACCTGAGCTGTATTCCCAGCTCGGTCAGCCATTCTTGGTCAGTCTGAAATGAGCAGTGTTAGTGCAGGCTCGGGGCTGAGTTTCAATGCAACTATTTGGACAAAAACGAGTGTCATCAGTAGCTTTCTGATATGGGGGGTTTTATTTCAAGTGACCTCAGGGTGAAGTAAGGCACAGAAGTGTTTTGCAGCAAGATGTTGTCTCCCCAGGGAAGTGCTGGTTGGTTTTCATTGTCCATTTGTGCCAATGGATGTGTTGTCTTTTACCTGTTTTCACTGGATCTAGAAAACCCCGGGTGTCTTCAGCCGAAATGGACAGGAAAATGGCTAACAGGAAGCTCATCCGACTGTCTCAGCTGAAGAACAAACTTGCTACTGAAAATCTGGAGGAAATAGACTGGGTAACATTTGGAGTCATAGTGAAGAAGGTCACTCCTCAGAGTGCAAATAATGTAAGTAACTTCATTGTATCCCTTGCTCCATTCAAGTGAAATGCTGGTGGTCTTTCCTGAGAAACTTTCCTAGATCTTCAACTTAATCAGCCAACTTCATGTAGTTAGTGGAAAACTTCTGTATTAAAGATCTGGGCTTTTCTGATTTCATCCAGTATTGTTTGTGCCCTATAGAAAGTCATTGATGAAACAGATCTGGATATGCCATGGTTTTGTATGTTCAGTGGGGTAAAAACCTCTTTATTCAATGTGCTGCCCAACTTTGATGTCAGAAAGGTTGGTGGTGGCAGAATTATTTGCTATTTTGGCTTTAAGAACCCTAGAGCTGGCAACATGGATGGCTGGAGATACTGTATCTAAGCTCTACTGAGGTTATAAACTGCTTTTCTAAGTCATAAAAACCTTGGGAAGGGGAAAGTCAGAATAGCTCTTTAAAAGAAACAGCCAGAGGGGATGCAGCCAGCGTATCTGCAGCAAAGCTGGAAGGAAAGGGAATGTCTGTTCCAGGGCAGGACCTTCAGTATCTGGCGGCTGAACGACCTGCGGGACCTCAATGAGTGCGTCTCGCTCTTCCTGTTTGGTCAAGTCCACAAGGAGCACTGGAAGACCGACCAAGGCACCGTCGTTGGCCTGCTCAATGCCAACCCTATGAAATCTAAAGAAGGCTCAGATGAGGTGAGAGGATTTTTCATTCAGCTGTAGATAAAAACCTATAGCTGAACCTTTTCATGTTTGGCTGAAATTTCACTTTATAGCACATCTTTGGTTTGAATTTGCAGCAGTCTGCTCAACCGTTTGAATTGCATTCAGGGAGTTGCATGATGTGTATCTGCTCCTGGCCTCCTGGGAGACTGAACTTCAAGAAGTCCTATTAAGCATTTAAACCCAGAGTTTATTCCAGTTTTTAATCTGCTCTCAGTAGCAGTTGGCTCTTCCACAAATAGAGGGAATGTATTTTCATTTCAGTTTATTCAGCTACTTCAGTGTAACGGCTATTTCAGCCTAGAGGTCTCTCAAAGCTGAAAAAGGTGGAAAAGCACATTTTCTCTCTTCTAATTCAAGTATGGGATACGATTACAAAATGTTTCTGGTTCAAAAATCGCAACAGAGAGGCAGCAATATTTGATTTATTAAACAAACAATGTATTATGTAAATTTTTGTCAGCTGATACATAGGAGTTCACTTGTCTAATTGATTATTTATAAATGCAGAACATTTTAAGATGGCTTCATTTTGCTAATAAATTAGTATATTCTTAATTGCACTGGAATGGAACCTGTTTCCAGTTACTTCTGTCAAGGGGAATTTCAGTCTAGTAGCTGGTCATGTGGTGTTCTGCATTTTAAATTCTCCAAATAGAAAAATTAAGGCTCTCATTAATTGTCTTTTAAGCTATATAATTGCTTAAATTAGCATGAATAAGCAGTACATAGTACATTGGTGAGCAGAAAAGCACACCAGATTTAATAAGAGGGCTGCATTTAACTGTCAAGAATGGCTCTTCCTAGCTAAAATGTTCACATTTATTACGACAATAAAACTGACTTCTGAAATTGGCTACAGGCACAGTCCCTGGTGTATTTGGTGATGTGAAGAAGACACTTTTCTTGCACAGGACTCAGTTTTGATTGGACCAAGACATCTGGAGAAGGACAGAGAGCCCTGGTACAGCTCTTCCTCCTATCCCTTGCTGGATGTGGGGTCTTGATGGCCAAGCAGCTGTACAGGACCATTTACAGCACAATTAGAACTGCCTTTTTTTTTGTTTCCCAAGGCTCTGAGCATAGAACTCAAATGTCTTTCATCTCTTTGTGAGAAATAAATTAACTTTTTTCTTTTTAACTGAGCCATTTCTCAATCTGAATAGAACATGTGCTTTTCTTAAGCTAGGCCTGCATTTTAAGACTCTGTTGTTAGTACCAGAGGTACTGAACCAGATCAGAGACAAACCAGTGACAACTAGAAAGAGGCCTATCCAGAAGTGTTCTGATTTCTGTCTAGGTGTGTTTGTCCATTGACCATCCCCAGAAGATCCTCCTCATGGGAGAAGCTCTGGATATGGGCACCTGCAAAGCCAGGAAGAAGAATGGTGATCCTTGTGCACAGATTGTGAACCTGGTCTGTATCTCAGTAGTCAGGGCATTCCTAAGCTGTTGGTGAAAATCTGGCTGCTGATTTTGTACTGATACTCTGATGTGACTTGTTTCTGGATCTTGACTTGCAACTAACTAAAGTGGGTGGAGAAAGTGAGAAATGAAACCCAGAGGAGCTGTTTCTGTGCTGGCACTGTGCAGGGGATTTCCCTAAATGAAAGGTTGGTGCTGCAGTGAAAGGAGATGGTATTGACCCATGATGCCACACCCTTTCACTCTCCTTTGCTCCAGTGCAAGCTTCCATGCACTGCACTAGAAAACTCATCCAGAGAAAAACAACATGAGATTATTTGGGGAATGGCTATTTTTTTTAAATTATTTTAACCCGATAAGCTCCCTTGTCCAACATACCTGCAAGCTGTTAGATTACTTACAACTGAATGTGGGGCACTGGAAATGAGAGAAAAAAGTTTTGGGACCCTTCTTTTAGGACATTACTGACTTGTACTAGTTTAAAGGACTTGTGGATTATGTTACTTCATGGCTATGGTGGTGCTGTGATACCTGAAAGGAACCTTGCCTGAGTGAGAAGGATTGTAGATAGCAGGGTATCAGAAAGAGGAGAAAAAAATGAAGGAATGAAGAACTGAGGAGGAGCTGGAAGTGTGGGAAGTGGGAAGAAGAAAAATACAGAAGGTACTTGTAGCCAATCAAATCTCTGTTTGCAGACCCACTCCAGGAGGAGGCTGTGCATGCAGTACATAAAACTGAGTAGAGTCAAGAATACAGAATCTGGGCAAGAGGTCCTGGGTGGGATATGAGTTGACTTCAAGGAATGGCCTTAAAATTCCTTGATGCACAGGGTTGTTTCTAATGATTAGTATAGGCAATTTTAGCTTTGTTTTTCATTGCTCGAGTATGGACATATTTTTGATTAGTTGATCAAATGCTGGAGTACTACAGTAGAAATGTTACTTCATTTTAGCCCTACAAGGATGCATGTGGGTGAGAGGAATGAAGGAAATTCTAATTGCTGGTGTTCTGTAATAGGCTTCTCCTGTTTCTTTTCAGAATGACTGTGAATATTGTCAGTATCACATACAGTCCCAGTACAAGAAGCTTAGCTCGAAGCGGGCAGATCTGCAGTCCACCTTTTCTGGTGGCCGCATTCCCAAAAGAGTTGGTCGGAAAAATCCCACTTTGAAGGAGAGGCTGTGTCAGGATGGGTTTTACTATGGAGGAGTCTCTTCAGCAGCATATGCAGCCTCAGTGTAAGATAAACCATTTATTTCCCTTGCTTTTGAACATAATTTCCCTCAAATATACAAGGGAGCCTGAAGCTATGTCTAAGGAAGTCTATTCATTTAGAGAATGCCTTTGCCTTAACTACGTTCACCAAATAGGAATAAAGCCCCACACTTGGCATAATCCTACTGGCCACATGGGGTTAACAAAGCTGCTGTTTGACAGAAAAATTTTAAGTTAGTACTAAGATGTGGTAAAGGTTGTTTTTACCTCTACATTAATACTGTGTTGTGAAGCCAGGCAGCTTTGTGTTTCAGTAGATTAATGGACTTTGAGATCATGAGATCCCAAGCATTTGAGTCTCTGAGATTGTAACTGTATTTTCTTATGGTTTACTGCATTTAATCTCAGAGTTGGTGTTTTCTGTATTTCCTCGAGTCTTCCCTGCCCGAAATAATACAGTGTCACTCTGGGTTAATGAGGAAACTGACCAAGATCAGTATGTATCTCATAGGGACCAGGTCATTTATCTAAATCCCATGAAGACAGCTGTGGAAAGCTGGATCCAGCCCTGTGCTTGGACACAGCTTTTATTCCCTTACTGCTGCCCTCTGATACCTGGTGTGACTCCAAAGTAATGAGGCAATTCCAATCTCCTTTCCATCCCTGGAATGACCTGTGAGCAAAGCAAAGCTTTAATCTATCTTTAGTTGTCCTATAATGCATAGGAAATACATATTTCAACAAAGGGAGAAATGGGAGATCCTAAAATTATGCTGGAATTTGGATTTAGATTCACATCCTTCCAAAAAACAGACAGCTGGCCCTTTAGTGTGGCTGGAGTTTTATTGTAGCACTGGGCTAGTATTCAGGCTTCTGTCCTTGCTTTAAGCATGGCAAAACTCTGATGTTCTGGATTTGTTTCCTCTTTCTAGCGCAGCAGCTGCTGTGCCAAAAAGGAAGATTCAAACCACTCTCTCCAACCTGGTCGTGAAAGGATCTGATGCAATTGTCCGGGAAACCAAGCAGAAAATCGGTATCAAATTACTCAAGTAGTCTCTTCACTCTTGAGATGTTTCCAGCTCCATGTGTAGATGTGTCCCAGGGCCTTCTAGTCACTGACTGAACCTGGCAGTCCCTTTGCTGCAGAAGGGGTGATTTGCTTCCTCAGTTGGTCAAAACTCCTCTTCCCTCTTGAGATCACAGTTTCAAGGCAAATGTAATAAGCAACTGTGTGGCTTCATGCATCTTTTTTTCATCAATGCCCCCAAATTAAGTCTCCTGTTCTGTCTTTGGACAGTGACAGAAGATCTTTGCCAGATTAATGGGAATTGGAAGTTTTAAGAACTTTGAACCAGAGAATTTATTTTATTTGATTTAAATAAATTACTTCTGCCACCTTGAAAGCTTCTAAGGAATACTAAGTATAAATCAGTCAGGTCGGCAACGCAGGCAACCTCCTGAGAACCCACTTTGTTTCTAGTGCTTTTCTTTTGTGTCAAAGCATGTTCCTTTTGTAACCCTGGGATGCCATCAGTCTTCTCTACCTCTGTTTTGTTTCTGTAAAGCACTTAATATTACACTCTTTATGCTCCCTGGACAGCGGGTAACAGATTATTCAAGCTGTGTTCTAGGTGCCACTTAGTCTTACTTACACCTTTCAGTTCCATCAGTTTTAGCTGACTCCATTTCAGACAACATAGTGTGTGTCCATAGCAGCTTTTAGCTGCTCTGAATTCTCTGGGCATAAAGTGTGGAGCCTTCAGGACTGTCAAGCATCCTAAAAATGGGAATGGTGGGAGTATCACAGACAGCCAAGGCTGATGAGGAACTGAGTGATTGAGTTGCTGAAGGGATAAAAATGTCTGTGACAAATAACAAGACCTTGGACAACCAAATATAATAGAAAGGTTGGTCTTGCTTTGAGAAGTGGTCGGCTGACCTGCAAGGGTTGCTTCCAAATTAGACAATTTTATATTTCAAAAGCCAGGTCTGCTTCCCTTCCTCAAGTCAAATCTGTTGTATTCCTGCCTCTTCCACTCAGGTGCAGCAAAGAGACCCATGCAGTGTTCTGAAGAATTCAGGGAACTGCTGGCACAGCCAACTTTTGGAGCACGAAACCTCTCCAAACACTGGACCAAAACAGGTATTGTCCTTTTGCCTGAAGGACGACCCACTCCTAAAATCACTCTACCTCCTTCTGAACAAAGTGGCTTTTTATTTTGCTTTATTTTTCCACAGATGCTGAAAAGAAGCAAGGAGCAAATTTCCAGTCTATCTCTGCTTCAGCACTGCTCAAGCAACAGAAACAGAAATTGCTGGAGGCCCGAAAAAAGCGATCTGAAGAGATTCAGAGGCGGTAAGACACACTGGCTCTCACAGGAAAGGGTCTGTTATGTAGCCCTAAGGACAGCTGTGTTTTCACTTCTTCTCAGCTTTGTGTGATGCTTCTCTCTGATTTTAGCTTTGAAAACAATTGATCATTCACTTCTTCTGGTAACTTCTTCAAGTCACTCTTGATTTCAGCGAGTCCTTTACCAGTCTTGTTTTCTTCTCCTGAATGCCAAAATTGCTGTGTGTTTCTTTTGGCAATTAAAGGCCAAATAGTAAAAAACACAGTCTGTATCCCCTCCTATTTGTTTTTAAAATATTTTTTTCTGTGATTTGTATCCCTAATTGAATTAATTATTTTCTTACAAGGTTTCTCCAGAACACAGGTAAAGCCAGCACTCCTGCTCTCCCATCCTCCTCCAGACAGACCTCCCTCCACTCCCCAGTGCCTGGGGCAGAGTTTCCCAAAGCTGCAAAAATGTCAACTCCTCAAAGGCCCAGGCTAGGTACAGGCTTCTCAGAAGGAGAAGATATCCTCTTCTTTGACAAGTCTCCTCCACCAAGGCCAAAGCTAGACAGCTTGGCAGAAGCCAAAAAGGTACCAGCCCTTTCAATCTTTAAAGTGTTAAAGAGAGGTTAAGGGAAATTTGATTTGTGGTAGAAGAGGAGTCTTTGGTCAGCTCAGTTCTGGTGTTAGTGAAGTTCCTCATTTTTGGGATCACACTGGCCTATATTCCAGCACACCAGGAGACCTGTGGTTCCCGATAGCTGTTAGTGCCAAAGTCCATGCTGCCATCTTGCCTTCAGTCAATCTCTTAAGGGAAGGGATTTCTGCTGAAAATCCCTGGAGTGCTAAACTCTGGCATTGCTAGTGCAGTGTACTGCACATGTTTTCTGTTTGACAGGTAGGTAAGCAACTGGTTCAGTTGCGTTGTGTCATGACTCTGGATAATTTTGTTTTCTAACCAAAACAGACTGCATCTTTTTTCTTGGCAAAAATATGTTAATTTGTTTGTCAAAGAAACTTTTCCAGCTAGAATGAGGAAGTCTTAGCATTCTGGGAGTATGAGAAGGAATAGGTGTAATAAATTTTCTATTAATTCCTAATTATTATCAATTTATGTGGAAATCTCAAGTGATTTGGTTTCTCTGAAAAACTTACTGATTTGTGAAACAGGTAAAGCTCAGCTGGAGAGACACCAGGCCTGGTAGCACCTGTGGATAGGTGATTTTATGGTTTGGGAAGTCACAAGAGGTTGGGTGCATGTCCAGAGCTGGGAATTTTGTTGGGCCTCTCTCCAGCCAGCTCCATCCTGAGGCCGGTGGATGTTCTCTCTTCCATCTGACAGCCTTTGTTTGCTACTTCTGGAAGTAGGAGCTGGGAGCCAGACAGGTCACCAGCACTTCCCTTGCTCTTTCCTGTTTTCCAGCTGGCTGCAATACGACGACTACGAGCAAAAGGCCAGATTCTTCCTAAAACAGACCCAAACAGCGTCAAGAGAAAACGGACTGATGTTGAGGATGTCCTAGAAATTGTTGAAAGAGTTGAGAAAAGTGTTGCTCAGCCACAAAATCCAGAAGCAGACAATGGTATGTACTGTTAGCTTCTATAACAGAAAAAACTGTGCTTCTGTCCTACTGACAGAGCAGTAGTTGCTCTGGGTTAAGGACTTAATTGCTGTGCTAAAAAGAGGCCAAGTTAGGTCTGTTTGGAACTTCAAGGGTTTGTTGGGAAAAAAATCTCTAACCCTGTGGAGAAAGTGTGAGATGTAATCTCTGATAGCTGTCTGTGCTCATCTCAGTTCCCTTTCCTTCAGCACTCAAGCATCTGCAGTGCAAGGCTGACTTCACCAAGGAAAACAACAACCTTCCCACCTGGGAAGGTATCTGAATTTTTTGTGGGAACTTGAGTTTGCCTGCTGGTGATTTACTGTGTGATCTTGGATGAATTGTTTAATTCCCTTTAAAGTTTCTTCATCAGTCAGTGAGGGAACACTGCTTGCACTCCTGGGAGTAATGTGAAAATTCCTAGTACAGTGCTTTGAGAGCAGATGCAATGTTATTTTTATAAAATACTTTTTATTTTTTCTGAAACCGTATTTGAACTTGTTTTCATGTTTCCAAACTATGAAAGGCTGCTGTTTGACGTGAACATCTGCCTGAGAGACCTGAGACTTCCAAAATCTCCTGCAGTGAGCAAGTTTAGCCATCACAGCCTTGTTTTGTAGGACTGAACCTTTTTGTCTCCCTAGAAATGGATGGACTGGAACCTGCCCAAAAAAAACGGCGTGAGCAGCTGGCCTATCTGGAGTCAGAAGAGTTCCAGAAAATCCTGAAGGCCAAGTCCAAGCACACAGATGTCCTAAAAGAGGTATGGCCACCATCCAGCTGTGACTGGGGGCTTAGAACTGGGAGCTGACTGGACTCCTCATGAGTTCAGCAAGAAGCAGGCACCCAAACATCTCACAGGCTCCAGATTGTCCCGAGAAGGAGTGCTGGGTGTCTCTGGGCACACAGGGCACAGTGCCTGCAAGCCAGCACTGCTGCCATAGCTGGGTAAAGTCACACTGCCAGTGGACCAGTTTTTTTGTTGTGTTGGGAAGGAACAGTGCAGTTTCCTGTTGGTGGATAATCAAAGAAATCCCTCTGCCTTAATATCAAATGAGCCACATGTCTATTTTGTCCCTCATTACTTGACATCCTGGCCACATAAAGCCAGCTGCCACCTTCATCTGGGGTTCATGTCAGCTGTGAAACGCCATCAGGTGCCCTGAAGAGCTGAGAGATTGGGTTTCTCACTTTGGGAGTCTCTGCTGAGCACTTTCCCAGGGTTGCAGCACCTCCAATGGCGCTTGGACACGTATTGGCATGAAGTCATAGTTGTTTTAAGGTCTTCTGGGGAGTAATGTTTTGGCTAAGAACCTATTCCATTAATTACATCTGCCTACCTGACTTCTCTGCACATAGGAATGTGCTCATTTCAGTACTTCTGCTGTTAAACATTCCCACTTGTGCATTTCAGAGGTGGCTCATGTCAATGCTGGTGAACTACAGCACGTGTACAACAATGGATTGTTTGAAACAAGAGAGACATTGTGTTTCTCTGCTCCCAGACTGCAGTCTGCTTCAAGCAGGCCTGATAATAATTTGCTACAAGGCCATTTATGGAGTGGCCTCTCCCCTCTTTGTGTCCTCACAAGCCATACTGTGTGCCCCGCAGGCTGAGGCTGAACTGCAGGAGCAATACTTTGAGCCACTGGTGAAAAAGGAAGAGCTGGAAGAGAAGATGAGGAACATTAAAGCAGTGAAATGCCGAGTTGTGACATGTAAAACGGTGAGTGAAGGGGAACCAGGGTACCAGCAGGGGAGTGAAACATGGCTTCTACAAAATGGTGCTGGACTGTCCTGCAGACTCCCATCTGTCCCTCTCTTGGCTGTGGTCCAGTGCAGGGATTGATGGTTTGTTCCTTATGCCTGTTGTTGAGAGCAGTCTGTGCACAGAGTGACTGAGACATGGCAAGGCTTTAGTGCTGTGCTCAACATCTCACCTCAGTGCTTATGCCAGTGGTTCCATGGGTATTGCCATCCTGAATTTCTCAGTTTCTTCCATGAAGTGTTTTGTACCATGACCCTCAGTTCCCTGTATTTAATGAAAAAATAAGCAAAGTCCTTGAAAACATTAACACTGGGTGGCAATCCTCTTTCTGCATTTCCAGGGACTTGGCCATCAGGAAGAGGAGTGGAGCTTTATGACTGTCCCAAATGTACTGTGAGGAAGGGAAGCATTACCTCCCACTTCCAACGTTTCAGCCCCTGCTGAGCTTTCCCTCTTGCTGCCTTCCCTACCTGTTTTGGGATTGCACAGAGGAACATTTGTCCCCATGAAGTGCTAGAAAGAGGACCACAGGGTGGTGGCAAAGGGAGGAAGGTATTAAAAGGAGCAGTGACAAAGCCTGGGGTGGTGATCCAACTGCTAGGCTCTTCAGGATGGGAGAAGACAGGGGTGCTTTCCTCTGAACATTCAGCAGTTGCCAGCCCCCAGAACAGGTCTCATATGCTCTCTCTCTCTCCTCCCTGACAGTGTAATTACACCTATTTCAAGCCTCTGGAGACTTGTGTGCAGGATAAGCACGACTACCTCTGGCATGATGCCATCAAGAGATTTTTCAAATGTCCTTGTGGAGGCAGAGCTATTTCCCTTGACAGGCTTCCAAAAAAGCCCTGCAGGTAAGAAATGAGCCTCATGAAATAGTGACTGGCACTTAGGTACAGTCCCTTCACAAGTAACTTGTGAGTCACATAACCATGTCTTAAAGGGGCAATGTTGGCTCTTGTGCCAAGGAGCATGGGCTGGGTGTGGGGCTTCTTTAGGATCCCGTCACAGTGTGTAGCAAACACAGCACAGTGATCCTCACATGCCATCTTCATCTTTCAGTAACTGTGGCCTCTTCAAGTGGGAGCGAGATGGGATGCTAAAGGTAAGTGTGAGCCAGCAGTTCTGAGCACCTCAGCACTCCGACTGCTTCCTGTGGTTCTTTTGTCCCCCTCTTTGGTTCTGTGCCCTTAGGAGCTCCCAGCAGAGCCAACAGCTCTGCATTTTGTCAGGTACACAGAGGTACCTGCAGGCTCTGTTATAGTGGACTTCTACTTTTTGCTTTCTGTTCTCAAAGCTTTGTTTTATTTAACTGTGGGGAAATGGCATTTGAACAAAGTTGTAAGAATTCAGAATGTCAAGGTCCCTAGAGGGTCTGTCAGGTAATTTAGCCCTACCACAATTTCTGCCAGAGAAGTGTTTGGGAAATGCCTACCAAACATGTAACTTCTTTTCTCCGTGGTTCATGTTTCCAGGAGAAAAAAGGTCCGAAGATTGGTGGAGAAACGCTTTTACCAAGAGGAGAAGAACAACCAAAATTTCTCAATAGTCTTAAGTGACCTGGAGTTGATTTTTTTCATAACATGGATGGATTTTTGTATCTGAAACACGTTTATACTAGACTGCCAAGAGGATTCAGGTTTTAGTGATGAATCAGTAGGGAAATCAGTTTTTGATGAAAAGATCATCTGCCAAGTGTCCACAGGCTGCTGCATGAATATTGAATTTTGATCTTTTTTTAATTGACTGAGTAAGATTTTACATGAAATGCAGTCATGCCTGTTCTTTCCAACTAACAACACAAGAGTGACCTTGCTATTCGGTGACAAATCATCATGACTGGAAATGACTGTATATTCCATAAGCACTTATGAAATTTATATTCTGATGTGTTTATGCCAACCTGTCTTCAGCTCTGGGACAAAAAGCGCAGGTGACAGAGTTGTAGGTACAGAGCGTTCTCCATTCAAAACTACTCACTCTGAGCCCTTAGAAATAGATGTCATACAGGTGTCCCGAGTTTTTCGTTGGCTTACCTGTTACAAAACCCTTCCATGGCTTTGGCCCTGCAAGCCAGCAGTGTTTATGGTGGAAACTCAGAGCTCCGTGTCCCTCGGCACCATCCACACTGCAGTGCTCTTGTGGCTACGAACCTGGAGCTCCCACTTTGAAAAACATTTTAATGAATCTGGCACCAGCTTGTGAGTGGTTTTTAAGAGCTGAGTGATTATATTTGAAAGTTTTTACCCTTTTTCTGGTATTTTAAATAGGAACAGTAGCTGTCTCAGACCAAGAGGTGGCTCCTGAGAACTGCTGTCTCCATACAGGCATTTTTCTGACAGCACATCTCTCTAGGGATGCCTGGGGCATTTAACCAGCTTATTGTGGATCTGAGCCTTTTCCTGCCCCTAGCTCATGTCCAGTAGGATCACAGATATTTTTAAGTGCCTAAACCCCCTCTAACCTTAGTGATTCAATCAAAGTGACATTAAACACCTACATGTCCCAGAGGTCTTTGTTTGCTTGCACAGGGGCTGGAAGAGAAATAAATTACTTCATTTGAAGCAACTGAACAGATTCACCTCAGCATTCTGTAGCCATCTCTTACTGGTGTTTTTATTGGTGCAACTTGGCCTGTAGCATTCATTTCAGTCTCCTGTTGGTACCGTTTGCTGAGTGGGATGTCACTGCCAGGGGACAAAATCAGTAACTGTGACATTGCTTGGAAACATCTCCTGTGCATTCCTCATTCAGAATAAAAGAGTACAGAATAAAACGCTCCCTAGGTCTGCATGGTATGTCTCTGAGGAAAAGGATGAGTTGCTTCCTCAACATCTTTGTTTTCTCACAAGCTCAGTGCTGAATCACCAAAAGGAACTGGTTTGTGGTCTGTAACTTAAGCTTCCACAGAATTTGCTCATTCAGACTTTAGAGTTTCTCACCTGGAGTCCATAAAACCACTATGAAATTCCATGTTGGTATCAGCCTTCAGCCAGCGTATTGAAAGCTCACACTTTTTCCAGTTCCTGTCTCTTGGGCCCAAGGAAAGGAGGTTCTGCAGAAATTAAAATGTCAAAGGAGGGTTAATGGTAAGACACATATCTCCATGGGAGTGAAAGCAATGCTTGTATGCAAAAATAGGGTGAAGAAACCAAACCAGTTGCTTTGCTTAAGCTCTAGCAGTAAACAAGGAGTGGGGGTGATGGATGTAGATGAATGGATGGATGAATTTATATGCCTATTTTGAGATGCTTTTCTTATGCCAGAAATTGCATTACTGCCCTGATTCCTGAATAATCTAACAACACGGAAGCTGGGATCAGGATGGTCACAGCAAGGAGATGAGGAGATACTGGCAGGTGCTTTGCCCGAAGCTGTCACCAAAAATGGGCTTGGCCCAAACATCCTGCAGGACCAGCAGTTACTAGATTTTTGATGATGATTGATGTTTGATGATTTTTTTGAGGTGATTCTCAGCTGCAGCACCCCAATGTTTGTCTCATACCCAGCACCTGCCTTTCCAGGGATCACTGGTTATTCAGCCACACAAGCCGTAACAGAATTTCTGAGCCACAGAAATAATACACTTCAGCCATTAAAGCTGGTTTTGCTACAATTTAATCTTTATTTCAAAACCAAAATAAAATCCACATTCTCCATCAGCTGTAGCAATGACTTCCCATGTAAGCTCATACTGAAACTGATTCACTGGTTGATTCTGTGCAGAAGGATGTTAAAAACTTTAAACACATAATTACACATGGAAATTTTATAATATGATTTTACCAACTATATTATTAGTGACCTTACATTAATAGAGTGTGAGCCCAAAAGTAAGACAAGAGAATGACCAGAAAAAAAATTAATGCACAACTCATCATTATCTTTCATTACCTACACTAGCTGCAGCAATCTGATTTTGTAAGTCAGGTTTTCTTTGAAGTCCATCAGCTGTTCAGCCTTGCTGCATTTACTTTGTACTACCATGAAATACTTTTATAATGCAGCATTTGGGGCAAGTTCCTTACACAGGGGGCAAAAAGCACATGACTGGCTCCTCAAGCTGATGCTCAGGCACAGGTTTCCCATCCTGGTCCTCAGAGGTCGCTTTAAAGATTGATTCTTTTTCCTTACACTACTTTTGCTCATTTCTTCCTACCTACCCCACAAACAAAACTCCAGCAACAACAAACCTAGAAAACAGCATCTTTGAATGCAGTGTTTCCTGCTTCATCCTGGTATGAGCAGATCTGTTTGGCTATAAAAACACCCACTAACTTATTCACTGCCTCTTCAAAGTCTCAAACAGAAATGTACAGACAACGCTGAATTAAATTAAAAGCTACAAGCTCCAAGGCACAAAACCCTGCCTGGTGTAAGTCAAGAGGCTCACTGGATTGATGTGGTGAGCAGAGAAGGTTCTTGGATGGGTGTTTCATAAACTATGTCCTCTTGCAAATCCAGGTACAGAAGGATTGAATTACAGCCTCTCCTGCCTAAACACCTGCTGGCACAAGCCCATCCTACCTGGGTTGATTTCCACTGAAAAGACAGCAAAGAACATGGATGAAATCAAATTTGGCAGCCCAGAGGTGGGAACAATGATAAGTAGAGCTGGATGTGCAGAGCTCCTGGGCTGATTTAGAGGGATGTGAAGGGGCTGTGTGTGGAGCAAGGATGCTTCTCCAGCACAGGCTGGCAGCAAGAAACCTTATCAGCAGAAAGGCCAAAATCACTTGTGAGTTACAAGATAAGGTAGTGATTTAAGATTAGCACAAGGTCTGGAGCAGAAACTGTTTTATATTTTGCATGTCCAAATTCAATTACTTCTTTCTCCAGCTGCTCTTGGATCATGTTCTTAACAGCCCTGTGGTAGCACTCTAAGCTGGTGAGGTGACAGCTGTGTGAGGACATTGGGCATCACTCACTGCCACTTTGATTACAAATGACTGCTGGAAAAGGATCTCCTACATCCCAGATCAGCTTATAGAGTCAAATCTACTTTGAAAAAACTATAATGTAGTTAATTAAACTTGCTTTTCCTCCCCATTTCTCTTGCATGAAGTAAGACTTTGATTTACAGCATTAGAAGTCAAAGCTGGGATTCAAAATCCTTCCTTTGGCACCTGCCCAGTGTCTTCACATCAAAGCGCTGAGCGTGCAACCACTGTCAGCAAGGTCAGGAGTCAGACTAAATCTGACATTTCTGAACTGCTAGTCTGGAAAATAGCACATAAATTCGAAGCAAAATATCTTCTCTGTTCATTGTCTTTTACCAAGCTCCAGGAGGCTTTTGTTTTCAACACATGTGAAATGTCAAGGCAGAAAAAAAAGTTTCTGAAAGACTGGGGCTTTGTGCAACTGCAGATGGCCAAATAAGCAGCCAGATGTCTAAGTTTCACATGGTTCTTTTTGAATCTTGGATGCTGCTACTAAAAAAATTATCCAAGAAGGGCTAACATGGTTAACCTAACCTGCAGGAACATGAAGTTAGTTGTAAAGAAAGTTTTACATGAAACATGCTGTTACATCAATTTAGGAGCACACACGTACCTTTTACATGTGAACCTGAACACCTACAACCAAATTGTAAGGAACATCTCACCAAACCAGGGCTAAACCAAAACACACTACTACCAAAATAACTTTAAATATTTTGCTTTTAATTTGATTCAATTCAAGCAACTTTTCTAATAGGGTAAGTGCTGCTTCACTAAAATGCACAGCAACACAAGCATTTCAACAGCTTCTGCATTTCCCTGTCTCCTGAAGCTCTGCCTAACAGGTTTGGAAGTTTATTTCTCAAAAGTATTATTGCTAGAGGAGGTATCCAGCAACACCACACATCCATTCTGGGAGAATCCAGCTCCATCCAACTGTGCTCTGCCCAGCAGAACGAGCACAGCCTGCCCCAGAGGGTGGTTACCCAACAAGGTGTGGGAAGGAATGAGGACACAAGTCTCACCAGGTGGGACAACTGCCAAGTTTAGATGATCTCTGAGGTCATTGATGGGTTTGTTCTTCTGAAAGAGGCAATTTTAAGCTGAAATCCATAGGCAGAGGTGCATACATTTTTAAAAACAAAGGTAAACTTCTTCCTTTACTTCTCCTTCCTAGCTATAGTATCTCAGTCTTAAAACTGGGAATGTGACACCTTTAGCTCTTCTCTGTGGTCACAGCTCCCTCTGCAGTCAACCCAGCTCCACCAGTGACACCAGACAGGGAAGTCTCTCCATCAGTCCTGTGCTGTGAACCAGACAGAATACACCAAGTTCTCACAAAAATCCCATGGAAAGGACTCGGCAAAATCACCAGAGGGATCTCCAGCTCACTGGAAATCACCCACCTGGGCCATGCTCTCCATCAGTGCCAGGGTTATAGAGGGTATGGGGAACCAGGACACCCAAAATCACTCGCTGAGCCAGGCTAGGGGTCTGTCCTAAGTGACTCTCATCACTTTCTGGTGTTGTGGTCAAACCAGAAGCTGCTGAGAGGTTATGTCTGGCTCCAGGTGGGAACCACAGTGCTGACACCTCACTCCATCACCAAGGGTGTAGGACCAACACTTAATTGTGCTTAAACCTCACCTTCTTTAAAAACCAAACAAACAAGAAAACCTAGATATGCTGCACGAAGATGAAGAATCACAAAATGATGCACAAGGTGCCACAAGAACCCATCACTGCAGCCTTTGGTTCTTTTTGGGGTGGATTGGGGGGGAGTGAAAACAAGCTGAACATTGATTCTTTGCACTGGGGTGTTCAATGACATCCCCAGCACCAGTTTCTGAACAGCAGCAATGACACAACACAGCCCTCAAGTGCAGTTTTGCTCTGGTTTATTCTTCATTTCAAAAAACAGAGTCTGAAAGTTAAAGACTCTTTCAGAAAGCAAAGAAAAACACTGTCAAAGGCAAGAGGATCATTTCAGTGTGTATCACTCCACCCTGCCACCACTGCGATCCAGGGTGCATCCAAACATTTCTTCAACCTGGCAGCAGCCAAAGGCTCCTTATCCCAGACCTGCCAGACTCAAAGGATTCCTCGTTTCACACAGCCTTGGATCAGTTGTGCAAGGCCAGTGGGAGGCTGCTTTGTTGGCCCAGAAGCTCCCAACACTGTCAGACTCCTATTTCACCTGTCCCAGAGCTGCCTGGTCAGGTATGATGCCACGCCAAGCCATGCTTGAGGAACTCTACCAGCAGTCATATTCCTGTCCATAAATCCCATTTTTTCTCTGTGAGTGGTTGCTGCTTTCTCTTTAGCCACTTCCTTACACCATTGATTCTGCTGGTACTAACACCCACATCTTCATCAGCTACACTAGTAACTCCCCATGTCACCGAGGGCTTGTCTGAAATGGAATTTTTTAATTTTTTTGGCACAGGAAAGGAAGTTGGAAATACTGCAAATTCTTGCATAAACTCTTATGTTGGTACAGCATCATCCTAAAGATGTGTCATGGTTAAAAGCTTTTAAGAAACAAGAATGAAAACACCAAGAAAATCAAGGTGTTCTTTCAAGACTTTGATTCTTCAATTGTCTAAGACACCTGCAGGAAATCTGTTTTTCTAGGTTAGGCTTCCTTTGACATACATCAGCTGTCCAAGCTCAGTGGAATCATTATGAATTAGCATAGAACAATTTTGCAGTGCAGCATTTGGCTAAGTTACCATTACAGAGGTCAACAAAGGGAATTCTGCCTGCCCAGGCAGGGTCTGTGTTCTCCCCTCAGAGAAGCTCATTCTCAGGCCCATGTTTTCCATCCTGCTCTTCACGGAGTCTTCTACAGGTTGATTCTTTCCCCTTGCACAAGCCGTGCTCGGAAGTTCCATAAGTCCTTCAAAACAAAAATGAGACAAAGGAAAAACACCTTGAGGGCTGGTCACAGAAAAAGTGACCAGGATTCCAGTTTACAGGATGGGAGTAGAAGATGACTTAGTTCTTATCATCTTGTGAAAGTGAAATAAGACCTGGGCACTCCTCTAGGAGAAAACTCCTTCTACAAAAAAATCCTTAAAGCTACACGTGAATACAGAGACTTCTCTGGGGTTTGTAAGAACAACCTCATTTCCACTCAGGAGAAGCAGAGAGCCTCACTACACATCCCTTTGGATTTCACCAAGCACCTAAATAACCCCAGGAACTGAAAGCCAAGCAAGCTGTGGCTTTACAGACATGAAAGATCTGCTGGCAAAACACAGCTGGGCACCCCACCACACCCAGGCACACTGGAGGGAAACACGCAGAACAACACAAAAATGCCAAGGGTGAAAATAAAACTCACTCCCTCCAGAAAGCTCCAAATATTGTAAACCATGTACATTTTAAAAGAAAATTGCTGCTTTTACATCCAGACTTTACTGCCTTGATACTGGCTTTCCACATGCTTGGGAACTGCTGCAGATTAAAATATTCAGAACATTTTCACCCCAGTAACAAGGTTTATTTTTCTTTCAGTGGCTGGATCCCCGAAGCATTTACATTTGCTTTGTATTTTACTCAATGGTCTCAGTTGTTCAGCAAGAGTCCATTAGTCCCTTTTTTTTTTTTTTTTTTTTTTTTTTTTTTTTTTATTTTTTTTTTTTTTTTTTTTTTTTTTTTTTTTTTTTTTTTTTTTTGAGGCAAATGTGTATTACTGCTGACAAACGTGCCATAGCCTTGAGTATAAACGACTGATGTGGGATTATATTTAAGCAAAAAAAAATCCATTTGTTATTGTAATCAGATGTGGCTACTTGTTTTAAAAGGAAAATCCACCTACCATTAGTGGGGGGATTGTAAGAACTGTGGACATAAAAACTGGACAGGCACTGAATTTATTCCAACTCATAGTTTTGAATTCAGGGTAAATGACCACATTATTTTAATTACAAGTAGAGCTTCAGAAGAAACTTCTGGAGATCAATGGCTGTGAAGGGGTTGCCAGTGAACAAGGCATTATGAGGAAAAAGGCCCCCAAAAAGTCTGCCAGTCATCCTCTGAACATCAGGTCTTTTATCCTGCCAAGCACCTCTGCCTGGTACAGCCTGATCTGCCAACTAGGCATAGCAAAGAGCACCAGTGAGAGACTTGGGAAGGGGAACTGACCTGGTGTGTAACAAAGGGCACTGAGCCAACTCTCACCTTCAGCTCCACAGAAGTTGCATCATATTTCTTGCAAACCATTTCCTGCAGCTCCTTCTCCAGGTGCTCCTGAGTTGTGTTCTTGACATCAATGTAGTGACACTCTGAGCTGGCAAAGTGGCAGCTGATGCTCTGTGTGAGGAAAGTGGGTGTCACTCACTGTCACATCAACTACAAACAACTGCTGGAAAAAACCCTAGTGCATTGCAGACTGTGGACACATCACTCCTTCCTTACAGATCATGTCAGAAAATTCCTTCCTCCTTTCCAAGTGCTCTGGAGAGTGTCCCCTTGGAGAAATTCTCCTGCTGCTGACCTCCTTCTCTTGCTCTTCTTCCTTCCCTTCTCACCCTCACTCCCTCAGCATGAGCTGTCCTACTTGATCTCAGAATATCAGCAGCTGGAGTGCAAATAGGGATAGTCAGGGCTGAGGCAGACCTGTGTGTACTGGAAGGGCTCTTAGTTCCTGCACCCTAGGGTCACAACTCACTTGTTTTGAATCCACCAACCGACACAGGGGCTGAAAGAAGAGGCCACACAATAGGCAAACCAAAATCAAAACAGAGCAGCCCGTGCTGCAGTGCCTGGATGAATCCCTTCTGAGACAGGACCAGGCCTACAAAGGAGGGCCCTTTTCCCTGTTTCAGTTAAATCATCATGCATGTCAACAAATCTTTTATAGAAAAATGGGTTGTGCAATCATGTAAATAAATATTATTTACTGAATCATGGAGACTCCTGTTATCCAGATGGGATACCAAGAAGACAGGGAAAAAAAATTAGGTAAAGTCCTGGTATCTGGGACAGCTGAAAGGGAACTTTCAGAAAAGCAATTACAGCCAGACAGGCTTTAATTTAAACATAGATTCAACATCTAATTTCTACTCCTGTTCTGTTTTTATCAAGCAGCTGCACAGCATGCTCTTCTTACAGAAGACAGATGTTTAAAAATAAAATAATAAATAAACAAGAGACTGCTGAAGTATATTAGGAAGATAAAAACTCTTTAAAATATTCATCCACATATTCATGAACTGAGAAAGTATTCAAAGGAGGTGAGGGATAAAAATAGGGGGACAGTTGGATAATTTTTTTTAAAAAATCAAGAATATAAAAAACTGTATCAAGAGATGCTTTCCTACCTTTCGAAAACCTGATGTCCTGTTTATCCCAGAGCCATGAATGAGCAGGGGATGGAAGAACACTGTGTCTCCCTTCTCCATGACAAGGTGAACCTTGGGAATCTTCTCATCCTCATCAAGCAGCCCATGGAAAAGTTTGTTGGTTTTACCCTAGGAAAGAAAAAGGCTGAACTGAAATCACTCAGCTAGAATTAGAGGAAGAGCTGATTCTCAGAGCACAGCAGGGACAGCTAGGAAACTGCTTTCCCCTGGAGAGAGTATTCCATATGCCAAGCTAGAAGTCTGACTATTGCTTACTAGTCCTTCTACCTCAAGCCTGACACACACAAAAATGACACCTTTTGTATTTTCTGCAGCTGGATTTGGACAAAGGCATTCTCAGCTGGAGAGAACAGAGAAGACCACTGGGAAACCCCACAAGGGTGGACTGATGCCCCTGCTGGAGTCCAGACTTCTGCTCCTGGTATAACCATCACCAACGACAGTCCAGGCCAGGAAACACACACTCTTAAGAGGAAGATTGCACCTGGTATTTTATTCCATCCAGCTGTTTACTGTCAGACTTCTCCTCTTTGGGACAGTACACATGGTACCAGGCAGGAACAGGAGGAGACAGAGCCCTCAGACTTGGTAAGGGCAGTGGAAAACGTTGGCATGTGTTTATACTGTCATGTCACAACGTGCAGGACATTCTCCAGGTGAAGGTGGGAACAGAGGCAAATCTACCCACATCACACAGAGTGAGGTCACCCAAGATACTCTCTCCCAAATCAATGTCAATATTTGCATAAACAGAAAAAAGAAATCACTGAAAACCTCAGTTCTAACCTGCACATCCTCCCCCTACAGTGAGTCCTTCCCAGCCAAAAGACATCCCCTTCCTGCATGCCTTCCCAAGCCCTCCAAGACTCTGTACCTCCCACTCTGGATAACCATGAGGCTTCAGGGCTGTCTTGTGTGTCCCTGGCTGCACGACCAGGCAGCCGTTGTCCTGGTGAGCCCTCTCCATGGCGGTCCAGGCGCACACGATGCGGGACGCCGGCCGGAACGGGAAATAGTGCAGGTCCTGATGCATGGGGTGCAGGAAGGTCTGCTTGTCTGCAACACAGGTGCAGAAACCTTCAGCCTCATCACATGTGACACACCTTTTCCTTCCTGTTAAACCAGTGTGGCACATCCTAAGGAGCTGCTGCTTCCCACTGGGATCACTCGGTGTACTCAGTGCCTGCTCCAGCCCAGCCATGGAAGCCAAGCAGATGAGCTGCCACCCCTGCCCAAAATGGACCCAAAATGGCTCTTGGGTCACACAGTGAAAGCCAGGAGGCTGCTTGGCTCTGTGACCCCTCAGAAGTTTCCTTTTGCTGGCCTTCACCACCATCACCACACATTTTCATCACTCATTTTGGCTGTTCTCTAGTTGTGAGAACTTTAACCTGCACAGTGTTGCACAAAGAGCTTCCAACAGCTGTGCTGTCTGCAGGCACTGGATGTACTGCTGTGATGCAAGCAGAATCAACCCTGTCTGTGCTGCACCCTGCTCATGTTTATTTAGCCTTCTCTTTAAAAGAAGGGAAAAAAAATCTCAATTTATTGACTGCAGCCTCCACAGAGAATCTCTGCCCTAGAGGCTCTCTTCCATGAAGTCTAAACATAAATAAATATTCTTGAAGTTTTGCTTGTTATTCTTTCCCCCCACCATGGAAATGGAAACATCATCCACACCAGAAGAGCCTTATAAACATAATTTATATACTTACTTTGCCATTGATTTTGCCCCTTAAATAGATACAGTTAGGACATTTCTACTTGCCTCATTTACCATACTATTTAGACTTTGTGCAGCCTCAAAAACTCTCCTGTGTTTTCTCATGTTGTCTCATTAAACCAAGGTAAAAATAAACCAAACTATCACCAAAATGGCTTTGTAAATTTTCTGTGTTATTTGGGTTTAATTTTTTTACAGCTTTTCTAAAATACTAAGTTCAATTCTGGAATACACACAATAATTAATCCATTTTCCTCTAATCCAAATTTTCCTTACCAGAATCTGGAAGTTTATTTATCAGCATGGTGTGCATTGCCATGATGTTTGGCCCTGTGAAGCACTCAACATATTTGAGGACCTACAAGGCAGAAAACATTAGGAAAAAAAATCAGAAACATGAAAAACAAGAGGAAATATTGCTGAGGAAGCACTAGGAGCTGGATGTTTGGCTGAGGACAAGGGTACAGGAAAAGGAGGTCAGGGAGGATGGAGGGATGCAGGACAGGAGGCAGGATCTGGCTTGGCACACAAATGGGAATGGGGGGAGGAGGCCAAGAGGGAAGAGGGTGCTGCAGGCTGCTGAAGATGGGAAGGGTACCCCCACAGAGCTAAATCTGCCACATGAATATTGGCTGCAAGGCTGGACCTGCCCTGGGACAGATGTTTGCCTGGATAAAACACATTCAGAAGATGTGGCTGATCTGTCCCTCTAGCCTGGCACAGTTTGGCCAAGTCACATTCCTGACTGGCTCCACACCAGGGGCAGAGCAGCACTGCTTTAAGTCTTCTGCCCCAACCTCCACCCATCCCCTGCTCATGCAGAACACTCCTAAAAGCTGACCTGGTCTTCCTTCCTCACTTGTGTATTTATGGGAGTGACCTGTAGGGTCAGGTGCCTCCATACAGGCTCTTCCACCACCACCACCCTTTCCTTGCTTTACCTCTGGAAGAGTGCAGTATCTGAACAGCTCTTCATCTTCCTGGAAGTCCTGCACTTTATTAACCACATTTTCAGACTGACCAAACTGGGATCTCAGGGACTCATTTTTCATAATCATAATTCCTGGTGGCTTCACTTCTCTTCTACAGATCCTCAAGAACTCCTTCCTGCAAGAAGGAGGGAACGTCCATGTTGGAAGAACTCAACAACCTCCACTTCCCAGAGCTCCCCCAGCCTGCCAGGCAAGTGCCTCGTACCTGAAGCGCTCAATGTCCTCGTCAGAAACGAGGTTCTTGATGAGCAGGTACCCGTTGTCCTCATAGAACTGCCTCTGCTCTGTGGTCAGCAGATCGTTGTCCAGGGTGTAGCTGGGACACAGAGGGAGACGTTAACCACCTCTAGTGACCAACACGTGTGCTTGGGGGAAGAAAGAGCTCAGCTCTGAAGGCTGTTTTCCTTTCATCTCTACCAGGGAAGATGGAGCTTACCAAAACCTCCCTGAATGAGGAACAACACTGACTTGGGCTGAAGTAGGAATGCTTATCTGGGGAGAGAATTAAGGAATATATAATCAATCAAAATAGATTAGAACATTATCTACAGGCACGAGTCCTTGATCCTACATTGCTGTTCATGTTAAAGGCAGGTGCTGTGCTGGACACTCAATCAATGCTTCTATAATAATAAATTATAATACAAAACATCCTAGAAATGAAAAGAATCTAAAACAATAAAGCAATAGGAGTAAACCTGAGGTTTCACATTCTCCTACAGTGTTGCAAACCCTCACCATCTCACCAGTTACTGCAGAGATCAGGTCCCTGAAATGACAGGCATAGCAGGAAGAGAGTTTTAGGCTTGTCCTCCACTTCAAGTCATTCCAACAGGTTTTAAAAAAGCATTTGTTTTCTCTTATGCAGAGACACATTCTCATCAACAGGGCAATTAAACCCCACTTGCTAAAGAAGCCCCACAAGAGCTTTATGCATGGTATTGAAGTGCCATCCATAACGAAAGTGAGCATTTTCATGCTGATCTTTTGGTCTGCACATGCATGTTTACTTCAGCGTTTTATGAAAACCACTATCCTCTATTGCTCATAAAACCATGAATGCTTTGGGAATGAGAAATAGGTTTCATCACACCGGTTGTGCCTGCGGTCCCCACACCAGGAAGCTTAAATATTATCTTGTCAAGAGTCACATACAATGGGAGAAGAACAACACATGCAAAAATGTTTGGCAAAAATGATGAGCCAGAGAGAGGAAAAGGTGCTGGGAACTGGGTGGAAGACAGAGAGAAGAACATGGGGAGACCAGCTGGCAACTGCCACAGGAGGTCCCAGAGCAAGGAATCCCCCAACTGAGGGCACCAGTGCCCCACACACCACACTTCAGGCCTAATTTCAGTGAATACGGGACTCCTGATCATTCAGGCTCCTAAATGTCCACAGACAGCTGACAGAGACACAGGCACTGGCTAAACCCCAGCACGGGGCCCTGCTCAGCACCTCAATCTCCCTGAATGGGAGGACAGCAGGCAAGTCCACTCAGCACTGGACTCCATTTCAGCACCTTCCTCCCAGGCTCTGCACTGCCTCTTCCTCTCGCTGGTTTTGCTCTTGACACTTCGCAACATTCAGAGGACAAGTCTGGGTTGCTTGGACAACTGAAACCACGAGGCGCAGAAATTAAAACAAAACCAGTGAACCGATGTACCATTTGATATATCAAATATATCTATTCCTATCAGAGTCTGTCATTTACTTTATCCACACACCTTTCTTGCTCCAGCCCAGCTTAGTCATGTTTTTGCCCAAAGCAATTTGCATCATGACCCAGATTTAAAAACAAACAGGTTGTGCAGCACCTCTCCTTGCTTCCTGTATTTTACAACCAGGGTGTTTTTCCTATCATTTATTCCTAATTTTATGTTCCTACTTGTGTTATGTCTGTCTAAGTCAACTATCCATTTGCCTTCATATTTTTAATCGATTTGAGGACTTCTACATCCTGTTTGAACACATCCTCTTCTATGTATTATAATTCAGAGATAACTTGTCAGCGTTCTGCTCTGTGAAAAAGCTTTTTTTTTTTAAAGCAACATTTATGACAGCAGCTTTAAAAATATTCTCAGCAAGAAGTCTCCACTTAACTTTTGGAACCACAGACATATCAACGTAAAAACTTATTTATACCCAGCCTTCCTTTGCCTTATGTTGGCAGCCTCCAACATTTTCACCTCGGCTCCCGCTCACAAACCAAACCTTGATGTTTTTCCTGCTGCTGCTCTATCAGTCGAGTCTGTACCTTTCAAGGGAATCTGTGACTTGCCGTGCAACTCCTAAGTCAGGCGGAGTTGAATCTCTAGGAGGAAAATTGGCTGCAGGAAAGCCTCTGGCTGTGCTGGGGCACTGCCGAGATGCACATCCCGGCTCCCACATCCCGCGGGGCTGGAGCTCAGGGGGAGGCTTTGGGGTGGGTCGGGCACTGACCCCAAAACTCCAGTCGGGGGTGCCACGGCAGGCTGTCCTCGGCACCAGGACACCGGGCAGGGCTGGCCCTGCGTGTCCCTCCCGGGCCGGTGTCCCTGTCGGACACACCACGGGCCCACGGGCGGCTCCGTGCTGCTGCCGCCCCTCCCCGATCCCACAGCAGGAAGGATACCGGAGCCGGGGCCGCTGCCGGCCGCGGGGAGAGGTGCCGCAGCACGGCGGCCAGCCGGGCCGCCGAGCGCTCCCCGAGCCGCTCCATGGCGCCCGGGCCGCCTCGGCGCTGTCCCGGCCGGGGCGGAGCCGGGGCCGCCGCATGCTCAGAGCCGAGCGCCCTCAGAGCCCCGGGTCGGCCGGGAGGCGCGGACGGCGGTGGGAAGGGCGTGAGGGCAGCGGCGGTGGGAAGGGAAGGGCAGGGCGTGAGGGCAGCGGCGATGGGAAGGGCGTGAGGGCAGCGGCGGTGGGAAGGGAAGGGCAGGGCGTGAGGGCAGCGGCGGTGGGAAGGGCGTGAGGGCAGCGGCGGTGGGAAGGGAAGGGCAGGGCCTGAGGGCAGCGGCGGTGGGAAGGGAAGGGCAGGGCGTGAGGGCAGCCGCCGCCCTCAGAGCCGGGTCCCGCCGCCGTGCCCGGCGCGGGGCGGCCGTGACGGACCCGGCGCCCTCAGAGCCGCGGGCCGGCAGCGCCCCCGGGCCGAACGGGCCTGAGGGAGGCCAGGCCGGGCATGCGGAGAGCTTGGAAATTTCCCTGCGGATTTCTTTACGTTCGCCCTCCCGCCTCCCATTTTTTTTTTCCCCATTCTCTGCCAGGTGTGAATTTCATCAGCCCCGTGCGGAGAGCAGCGATTGGCACAATGCACTGCTGAGGCCGGCGTGGATCGATGCCTTATCTCCTGTCTCTAAGGAGACCGACAGAGTTCACCTGATCCCTCCATGAAAACGTTTGGAGAGATTCTTGCAGCCCCAGTGTGAAAACAGATCTCACTCCTGCCAGGTTGTCCATAAGACCCTCACTCCTGAGCAGTCCAAGCCCTGCTCCCAGAGAGGCACCATCACGAGTCTCCTGTAGCTCCAGGCAGGCCCACGATGACAGGGAGTGCAGCAAAATTCTACTTACTGCTGCTTTAGGAAGCTGAACTCCCATTCTGCAGCAGGTTTTGCTGGAATCTGGGGTGACATGTTGGTGAAACTCAGCTGTCAATACACGAAGCTTCCTGTTAGTGCTGCAGATAAACAGTAGCCAAGGCATCGGTAGGAAGGGCTCCTGTACATAACCTGTATCCTGGAAGCTGCTTCCCCTTAAAACTCAGTGGCAAAACTCCCACTGATTTAAGTAAACTATAGCAGGTTTACAAACTGCTCTAGTCTGTGGTGCTTTCATGTTTTATGGCTTTTACGGTACACTTGGTGGAGTCACTCCCTTCAGGGGCATAACAGAATAGGCTGTTCACAGAAGTGGGACAAATAAGGTTGGGAACCCAGGAAAAAACCCTCTAAACGATTTTGTTTAGTCACAGAGACAAGAGTACAGGCACTGTGAAGGTACAACAGCAGCAGCAGTAACAGCACCCTTCATTGCCAACAAAATCAGACCTTTGACTCCTGAGCCATAGAACTCTTAGTCATAAGAAAACAGAAAGTTAAAAGTCCCTCAAATCAAACTAGTGAGGGGAAACAAAAAAAAAAAAAAAAAAAAAA